TAAAGGCAAAGCATTAAAACTAAGAGGGTTGCAGGAAAAATATAATGAAGATTTAAGTACACAAATAATCCCAGCTCTGGCACAATATATTAACTGGCCAATAGAACAACTGGATGTAGAGGTAGATAAACTCTACAGAATCAATTCATGGGTGGCAACAAATAGAAATCTATTGAGAAATATAACAATTCATTTTGAACAAGAGAGGGTACATGACTTGATTCTTGAAACAAACAACCAAAAAATTCTATATTGAGGACCAGGAAGTTCAAATATTTAAAGATATTCCTACACAGATATTACAGAAAAGAAAAGACTATTCCAAATTAATACAATACCTTAAACCAGGGGTAGGTAACCTTTCCCCTTTAAGGGCTGAGGGACTTCAGCTCCCAGAACCCAGGAGCTATTGGCCAACATGGGACTATTGGCCAACATGGCTGAGGCTTCTGGGAGCTGAAGTCCCTTGGCCCTTAAAGGGGAAAGGTTGCCTACCCCTGGCATAGATCATGAAAATCTATGGAATGTCCTTAAAGAAATGGAAGTGCTAACACATCTGACAGTCCTAATGAGGAATCTGTACTCAGGACAAGAGGCTACTGTCACTACAGAACACGGGGAAACAGAATAGTTCCCAGTTGGCAAAGGGCTCAGACAAGGCTGTATCCTTTCACCCTATCTGTTCAACTTGTATGCAGAACATATTGTAAGGAAAGCAGGCTTGGACATGGAAGAGGAAGGAGTGAAAATAAGAGGAAGAAATATCTGCAATCTGAGATATTCCGACAACACCATAATACTAGCAGAAAACCTCACAGACCTGGAACACCTACTAAGGAAGATCAAAGAAGAAAGTGCAAAGGCAGGCTTACTGTTGAACATAAAGAAAACAAAAATAATGACCACAGAGAACTTACACACATTCAAACTAGACAATGAGGAACTAGAAATAGTAAAAGAGTTCTCATATCTGGGATCAAACATTGATCAGAACGGGGACTACAGCCATGAAATCAGAAGAAAATTAAGAATGGAGAGGATGGCTATGAAAAAACTAGAAAAGATTCTAAAATGCAAAGACAAACAACTCAGCACAAAAGTCGGAATCATACAAGCCATTGTGTTCCCTGTTACCATGTATGGATGTGAGAGCTGGACAGTCAAGAAAGAAGATAGAAGGAAGATCAGTGCATTTGAGATATAGTGCTGAAGAAAAGTGCTGAAGATTCCATGGACAGCTGAAAGGACAAACAAATGGGTCCTAGAGTAGGTCAAGCCAGAAATATCACTAGAGGCCACGATGACCAAACTGAGACTGTCGTACTTTGGGCACATCATGAGAAGGGAGGACTCTTTGGAAAAGACAATAATGCTGGGGAAGGTGGAGGGACATAGGTAGAGAGGAAGGGCACATGCTAGATGGATGAACTCTATTAAGGAGGTCATGGGTATTAATGGTTTGCAGGAATTAAGCAGAGCAGTGGACGACAGAGGGTCTTGGAGATTTCTCATCCATAGGGTCGAGATCGACCCGAGGGCAGTTAACAGCAACAAAAAACTTTCCTTGCTGCAGTGAGGTATTCATTATTCCCCTTACCCATTCAGCCTCTAGCTGCTTTCAGGAACCAGGAAGGGCAAGGATCCAGTAAACATAAGATGGCTCTCACCTCTCCATTGAGACCATCTACAACCTCAGAGTGCACAAACTGAAACATGTGCAATAATACAAGACAAGCAGGCACCAATATTACATCCACTGGACCTATCTCAACTGGTCAGCATGCTCACCCAGGATCAAGTCCTAGATCAAGGATGTTTTTCTATTCATTGTATGGGCACCAAGCAGCAGCATTTTCAGCCTAGGGGACTCTTGCCAAAGCTATCCAAACTATATGAAGTCAGGGACAGCTTTGGGTTAACTAACAACCTTTGGTTCTCCCTCTTACCATGACAAAAGGACTGACTCCCACACCATATCTCCGTCTGCCCATTGTTGCTATGGCTGTTCCCTTGGCTGCTTCTCCTCCTCTGTTCCTCATGTAACACATTTTCTTTTAATAATAATAATAAATAATAATTTTAATAATAATAATAAAACTTTAATAAAAATAAATTTTATTTTTATACTGCCCTTTGGTGAACCAATCCGGGCGGTTTACAGCATTAAAAGCATACAACATAAAACAATATATTTCCCTCCCCCCTTAAAAAGTTATTAAACTGTATATCAATTAAAATCACAATAACAAATTAAAAACAGGAAATAATACCAACCAATTTAAAACCCTTGTAACTGCCCAGTAGGCAGCTTATTTTAAAAAGTAATATAAGTCTGGGCATGTGAAATTTATTTCTCTAGTACAGGGGTCAGCAACCTACGGCCCATGGGTCGCACCCGGCCCACCAACCAGCCCCCACTAACCCCCACCACCACCGCCGCCGCGCATATAATGGCCGCCATTTTGTTTGCCAAAATGGCAGCTGTGACTCATTTGCACATGCGTAGCACTCCTGCGCATGCGTGAACGAGCCATGGCTGCCATTTTGGCAAACAAAATGGTATCCGCGACACATGTGGTGGCAGCAGGGGCGGGGGTGGGGGTGATGGGGCTGCATGCATGCGCCCCCGCCACCACTGCCACCACGCACATCATGCACCGCCATTTCCCCCTTCCCCCCCAGCCCAGCAGAAGACCTGGGGACCTTGCTGACCCCTGCTCTAGTAGATATAGGAAAACACTTGGAAGTGAGGTCCAAATTGAGACAGAGAAATGTTTTCAGAGCCTACCTTTATATAACCTGAATGGATTTTCCTGCATGGCAGAGGCTGGGCTGGATGATCCTTGTGGTCTCTTCAACTATGATTCTGTGATTCTATGACTAGTTTTTCTCACATAAACATTTGGAAGAACATTAACAATCTAAAGCACATCCTCTCTAGTCTACCATCTATCAACACTTTGAGACAGTCCTGGAGATGGCTGTTTGTTCTGATTTGTTTATCAAAGCGGATAACATGTTCAATTAATGAGCAATTCAATCAACAGGAACTTTGGATGTTTACAACCCAGAGTCTGTCACTTTAAACAATTTTTAATTAACACTTGTAAATGAAAGAGGAAGCTCCCCTTCCCACCTACATGTTAAAACATAGGATGGAATCAGGAGTGTAGGGAACAAAGGTCATCTGACGCAGCTCTCTCACTTCCAAATACTGGAGATTATAGCTCATGAGTCCAGTTTGGGAGAAAGGAATTTCTAAATTATAAATAAATTATTTCTAAATTAAGAGTGAAGACTTCTTTATTACTATTATTTTCATCACATGGCCCTTGCCCTTAATCCATCTGATTGTTTGACAGAGGGGCGGGATATAAATAAAATTTATTATTATATTATTGTTATTATCCTCAAAGTGGGTCCTCCAGAGGGGTGACCCTTTTGGCGGTGGGCTTTTATTGGGTGGTCCTCTGGCTTATTAGACAATAGCTGGCTGAGTACCTGGGGCCTGGTTTTGCAGGGAATACAGGTGTCTGGAGCAAGCAGCCATCCACCAAGAGAGATGCAGAGAAGCAAGCAAGCAGACGGGTAGGTAGATCTTTTTCTTGGGCAGCATGGAAATGATGGTGTTCTTCTCCCTCCCGCATGCTGACTGGTTGGGAGCTAATTCCATCCAGAAAATTATTTGGCATACTCCCTGATACACAAATTCCTGTTTCCCTTTGTGTAAATCTTCAATTCCCTCTTTCAGACATGGGAAGGGAAGGGAGCACAAAGAAACTGTGGTCAATCAGAGAATGCCCTTCAAACCATGCAGCAGGCAGACCTCAAGCTCATAGCTTGTGTGGCCATCCCACAGGTGAAGAGGTAGGCTTCCAGGTTGTAAAGTGTTCTGTATTCAGCCCTATCATTATATCACACACACACACACACACACACACACACACACACACACACTTTCTTTCTTACAAAGCCACAGCTGTAGAGACAGAAATTGCAACAGATGGAAAACAGATAGACAATATGCACCTTCTTTCCTATCACCAAAGCTTGAAGAAATTACATTTTTAGCCTACAATTCTCAGAATCCCTCAGTCATTGTGGCAATTCTTACCACAGTTGCAATCCTGAATAGTTATTCGTCCAGGCTTTCAGAATAGTTACTTTTTCCTGGCCTGTTGCTTATTCATGCACTAAAATCTTAGCGTACAATGTACCTGTTGAAGTATTCCACAAACACCAGCATTAATAGATACAATGCAGACATGGGGTCAACACACAGTTTGAGACCAGAACTCTAGTTCCCATAGACAGCTAGTTCTACTTCCAGATGTGCCCAACATGCATTTTCTAAAATTCTTTTAAAGTAATAGTACATCAAAGGTAAATATACCATAGCATTTTAAGAAAACAAAAATAATGACCACAGATTATATATATAACTTTAAAGTGAGCAATGAAGACATTGAAATATTTCAAGATTTTCTGTACCATGGCTTAGTCATTAGTCAAAATGGAATCTGCCATCAAGAAATCAGAAGACTAAGACTTGGAAAGGCAGTTATGAAGGAACTATATCAGATCTGGAAGAGCAAAGATTTATCATCCAATACCAAAATCAGAATCATCCATGTCATAGAATTTCCAGTTTCTAGGTAGGTATTGTGAAGCTGGAGAGTGAAGAAAGCTAACAGAAAGAAAATTAATGCACTTGAAATGTAGTGCTGGAGAAGAGCTCTGCAGAAACCCTGTCCTGCCAAAACAAACAAACAATCGAGCCTCAAAGCAAATCAACGCTGAACTTTCACCAGAAACCAAAATGACCAAGAGTCTGATGACTCACGTTGTTATGTGCTTTCAAGTTGTTCCGATTTATGATGACTCTAAAGTGAACCTACAACAAGGGTTTTTTGGCAAGGTTTATTCAGGCAGAATTTACCTTTGCCTTCCTCTGAGGATGATTGAGAGTGACTTTTCCAATGTCATCCAGTGGATTTCCATGACTGAAGAGGGATTCGAACCCTGGTTTCCAGAATCTTAGTCCAATGCTCAAACCACTATACTACACTGGCTCTCACCTGATGACTCATTAGAGAAGAATAATGCTTGGTAAAGTGGAAGGTAGTTGGTGGAAAGTAGTTGGAAAGGAGGAAAACCTCATTATAGGTGGATTGACTCCATGAAGACAGCCACAGACCTGTGTTTTCTGGACCTGAGAAGGCCTGTGGATGCACAGGACTCTTTGAGGTCCCATTACTGTAAATGGAAGCCAGCTTGAAGGCAATTCATAACAACAAACATCACAGGCAAGCAACAGTATAATTCTTCAAAATGGAAGGTGGCAAGTACAGGGGAGAGACTGGACAGTCCTTGTTTCATCAGAGCAAAGTCAGGGAAAGGTTAGAAAACCTATAATACCCAACAAAAATAGTTAAGAGAGAAGAACAAAGCTACCAGAAGGCTTGACGATTATTGTCTTGTGTTTTGATACTTGCTAAACAAAAGCTGCATCCAAAGCCCTTGAGTTTAATGCTACCATTATCACTTGTATGCTGACCTTTTGAAAGACAAACAATGAGCCAATCTTGCTTGCAAGGGTTCATGAGAACAGCAAGGAGTTAATCCAGTCCTATAATACAAGCCTTTTGTGTATGAAAGATTTGTACTGATTGTTTGTTTGCTGTAGGTTATCGTACAATATACAGCTCTGTGACAACAGAAGCTAAATGTTTAAATACAATTATTTCACATAATTGTATTTTCTTCTTCAGATAATGATTTTAAGGGGTTTGCCTAATACAACATTGTTGGGTTTTTTTAAAAAAATGACACCAAGATATTATTTTCTTAGCAAATTAGTTGGCCATGCTTTCTGCTACAGTAGATTTTTTTCCAATTTGTATATGCAGTGGAATGTAATTTTCACCTTCCCTCAACATTTCTTAGGAGAGATTATCAGGCAGTAAAAAAATTCACTAACAGATATTAAATTGGACCAAATATGACAGATTAAAAGACAGTCCGTCTCCTTTTGAGAACTACTTTCTTAACTTAATTTGTCTTGTCATCTCATCAAAATAACTTGACCCAGAAGCAGGTTAAAATATATGGATTTTTTTAAAAAAAATATCTAGTGCTCTTGATGAGGAGCAAGCTACTTGGAAAATGTTGCCTAGCAACCCAACATCTCTTCCAAAATGGAACAGAAAAGGAATTGCTTAGTGGTAGCCTCCATTACCTCATCCTGATGGCCCCAGCACTGCTCCTGGCTATTCTTTCTTGGGCTGCCAGACACACATTGCAGAGCGCTGATCTGACTTGGATCTGCCCTCGCTGGAACGGGACCAGTTTTCCTGATCTTTAGTCTGGTGCAGATTTTGTAATTGTAGTTTTAAAGTCAGCCTGCTGCTCTTCATGTCTTTGCATTTTGCATAAAAGCAGTGAATAGTCTATCTGTACCCGTGTGCATTTACACACACAGTTCCAATGCCTCAGTTGATGGAGGTGGCAAGAGCATCTCAACCTGGTCACAAAGATCATTTTTATCATTGCAGCACACACACAGAAATATCACTTTTTGTCTTCCAACAGCAAAAAAAAAAAAAAAGTCTGAAGAGAAAGGAGCTGATCATCTCAGACACAGATTCATATTCAGAGTTCTGCATTGTTTATGCATGCTTATTTCAAGTTGTAGGCAGGGAGGCCACCTCTTAGTGCTCCATAGTCTTCCTGTCTACCGCACTGGCTTCTGGATTGCTTGAGAGCCATTCAAAGTGGTGGTTTGACATTTGGATCTGCTCCAGGGATCCTTGCTCCTACACAAATCTACTCAGATGTTGAGATCTTCCATAGATGTTCTGCAGATTTCAGATATTATCAGAAAGAAGGCTGTTAGTGATCTGAGAAATTGTTTTTTTCTGGAGCAATGACCTTTCTTTGGAGTGCCTTTCCCTAGGTGACAACTAAGCTGGTGACAACTTCAACCTTCACCACCTGAAGATTTTTTTTTAATTAACCCAGACTTTTTTAGGTGTTGATTTTAATAAATATATAATACGAATTTTATCTGGCTCTGATTTTAATACTTTACATTTTTATGGTTTGTCTGGTTTTATTTATTGCAGATGCTTAGCTTTACTTTAGAAAAGTTGTGATTACTATTTCTGATACCATGTGTCTGATCTGTCCCTAGTAGAAATGTCTGTCATGTGCCTTCAAGTCATTTCTGACTTATGGCAACCCTAAGGAAAACCTATTATGGGGTTTTCTTGGCAAGTTTTGTTCAGAGGTTTGCCATTGCCATCCCTGAGGCTGAGAGTGTGTGACTTGCCAAAGGTCACCCAGTGGGTTTCATAGTTGAGCAGGGAAACTAACACAAATACTTCTTACATAATCCTTACTAAGGGCCTTTACAGACTGCCAGAAATAATGCAGCTTGAGTCCACTTTAACTGTCCTGGCTCAGTGCTAGAGAATCATGGGAACTGTAGTTTATTGTGGCACCAGAGCTCTCTGACAGAGAAGGTTCAATGTCCCAGAAAAAATACAGTTCCCATGATTCCCTAGCACTGAGCCAGGACAGTTAAAATGGCCCCAAGCTGCATTATTTCTGGCAGTCTGTAAAGGCCCTAAGTCTTGCTTATTAGCTATAGGGTATCTCTTGCAATGTGTGGCCCTTTAACAGTAGGCAGAGGGTGTCACAGTTGTCACCCACAATTCCCAGTATTCTTCCCTGCTGTCTATGCTGGTTAGGACTAATGGGAGCTGCAGTACAGCAACATCTGAAGGGCTACACTTTGCCCACTCTGACCTATAATGTTCAGAAGCTATGCAGTAAAAGATTTATCAAAACATCCTAACCCAATGAGGCCTAGTAGTACACATATAAATGCAAGTTCGCCCTCCTAGTCAATGTATGGAACATACTCAATTGGAATAAAATGCAGCTCTTTCTTACTTAGTTTATCCTCTACAGCAGGGGTAGGCAACCTTTTTGA